AAAAGAAAAGAAAAAGAAAGGTGTGGCTATCTTTCACAAAGTAGGTGTTCACTGTGCGGTTTAACATGCAGTGCTCATGGGGGTGAGAGCTGGAGAACCGCCTGGCTCACGCGCTGGGGACACACTTCTGGGCGGCATGACCTTCACAAGCAAATTGATTTACCTCTTTGGGCCTGTCTTCCTGATCTGTAAAATTGGGCAAATAACACAGGTCCTTACAAGGGTTAATAGACTGATTCATTACATTGTTCCATACTTGGAATTGCCTTGATGCAACCCCGGCCTCCAGCACCGAGCTTGACATGAGATAGATGTTCAATACATGCTTGTCGAATCAATCAATACAAAATACATGCATCGTCTTTAAAACAGCGCCGAGCATGGACTAAGTATTCTATGAGCTATCATCATCATCATTTTCTAGGTCCAATCCTGCGAGAGGAGTTATGTACTCTTGGCAGAACAACACACCACAATTAAAAATCTGTTATCAAAAGCTCCGTGAAGAGGCTGGGCAAGAGCTGGTGAAGCCAGAGGGTGTGGGGTTGGGCGCCAGATAGCAGGGATCCAGGTCTCACAGGGCCGTGATTGGGTGCTGGTTGAACCGCGACCACTATCCATTCCCTCCCATGGGTGTGGGAGGAGCGCCGAGACGACGGAAAAGGAAGGGAGACCCGGGTTTGGCCTCAGCCCCTGGCCGGCTGTACCGTGGGGGCAGGTGCAGAAGATCCAGGAAGCAGCCACAGGACCGCACCAGTTAAGGTCCTGTTGTCCTTAGTGAAAGGCAAAAAGTCACTTAAAGGGTTTTTTAAAGCCAGCACAATAAGGTCATTAACTGAGATCAATTTTTCTGGGAATGTCTGCGGGTGGCCCTCCCCCAGGGGGCATTTCGTAGCTTGGAGCTTTGCCGGATTGTCTTTGGTTTTCAGGACATCCGGTCACGTGGAGGTGGGGACTGGGGTGGGACGGCCCACCGCCCCTCCCATCTCCGGCGACATTCCTGGAGTGGAGTGGCCCGTTACCATTCTTTGGGCTAGGCTTCACTCCATTTCTCGTGTGAACACGAAGGATTTTTTGCCTAGCAAAAAAACGGAATTGCCAGCAACGCAGTAGCCAAGAAATTGGGTCCTGTTTTGTTTGGAAATCGGCTAAGAATTGTGTGTGCCCCGCCCGGGAAAACCACACCCGTCTGCAGAGCCCTGTGTTGGGGCTGCATCTGGAGCGGACTATTCAGGGGCCCCAGCATCCGGGCAAAACCCTGCCCCACCCCCCTCCTGGAGGGCAGTATTTACACGCTGAAATGTATATCATTTTATAAATTCCTTTCTTATTATTTTATAATATAGAGCTCTGTGTTTTAGAATATTATTCTGACTAGGTTGGCGATATTACAGGAGTGAGGCCTTCTATGTCCAGTGTTCAGCCGAGTCCCCGGCACATAGTGGATATAGAGAAGGGCCATCGGGGCCTGGGGTTACCAGGTGGAGTCCTAGTGCCACCCCAGTATATGTGAGGGCCAGGATGTGGGCACCCAGGACAGAATGGAAGGTGCGAGTTGGAGAGAAAGGGGTTCCCTTGGCCCCCAAGGCTCAGCCTCAGGAGTCCCTTCCTGTGAACCCCGGCCTCATCACTGTCCCCTCGGCCATCTGCCTCCTCTGATCTGTCTGGAAGTTGGTTCCACCAGCTTGTTCTGACCACTTGCTGCTCCCACCACCGTGCACACCTACCCCAGCAGGGCCAGCTCCTTCCTGTCACACACCACCAAGATGTTGTCATCTGTTCCTAGTCCAGTGTCTTTCTCACTAGCACCCCAGGAGTGGGGGAGGGCGTGTTGGGGCGGCCAAGGCCGAGTCCCCAGCACCTGGAACAGTGTATGAATGGATGCCAGAACCAGTGAACACCCTTCCCACTTGGAGCCTTCCACAGGGCAGAGTGACACCCGCCTCACCTCAGCGTCTCCAGCAGAACATGGGGTTACTGACTTCCCCCTACTTCTCTCAGAGCTGTTTGCAGGAGAAAGCAAAAAGACACGGGGCACAGGCACAGTTGCCAGGAGACAGGCCCGGAGACACCTTTAACAAGGTGAGATGATAGGGACAGGGTTGGGCACGAAGGGTGGGTTTAGACGCTGGACTCCCAGTGCCCACAGCCCCTGGCCAGACTTCCGCCTCCAGGAATCTATTCTAAAAGAAATCACCTGGAAGTAGGCGGAAGACGGCCACTGTTATTTCCAAAGTTCACAAACTAGACATAGCCTGTCCAACCATAGGGGACAGTATCAGTGTTTGCCTCTGGATGTCCAGCATTTTTTTCCCCGGTGTCTACTTTTCTGTACTCTCCAAACTTCCTACAACACAAACACACATCAGAAATAAACGCCTTGCATAGCCCCTTCCTGTCCCCTCTCCCTGCCACCCCCATGGGCACTCAGGTCATAGCCGCAAGGGACCACAGAAGGGTTAATATTAGCAAAGTTTAATTTCAACATTTTTTTCTGCTCATAAATGATTCTGAAAAAGCCTGTATGCAAGAGGCCAACCCACTATTGTCTAAAAGCAACGTGGGAGCCACTGAGAGTGTCACTCAGACAAGAGGCTCTGCTGAAAATCTCCCCCACGCTGGGATGCAGGCGGCAGGGGGGGCAGGTTTGGGACAGAGGGATAAATAAACATCATCTCAGCTCTGCCATCAGGGCTGGTGGCCCAGGACCCTGAGGTGGTTGACCCAACTGCTGGCTGACAGCTTGGAACCCCCAAAACTGCCCAAATGTTTGGGTGTGGCGGGGAAAATGTGGAGGCTTCAGGAGGGCCCACGTGCCAACCAAAGGGGCCCTCAGCCGCCTCCTCCCACGCCAGCCCTGAGGCCGAGCCACGCTCCCCGCTGGCCTGACCTGCCTGGGCCTTGGGGCAGCCACTCAGCCCCAGCAGTCCCTGCCAAGAGGACTTTTTGGTGGTACCTGTCATGTAGTGTCAGGTGCTGAGGCCTGGCTTGGCCCAGAGGCAGGTAGTGAGGGATGGCAGGTGAGGGTCCCAAGGTGATGGCAGGAGGGTCCCCGGCACCTGCAGCTCTGGACTACCTGTACGTTTATTTCCAGACTGTGGTCCACTCTGGGAGAGGTGAGTGGAGAATGGTGCTGCTAGCCTCGGCCCAGTAGTGTGGAGGGTGTAGGAGTGAGGGAGGGACAGGGCCTGGGGCTGGACATCACTGGTGAGAGTTCAGTGAAGGCCAGAAAGGAACCTGCCCTGAAGGTGGCCGATCGTGGCCCACCTGTAACAGAACCCTGCTCCCAAAGGGTCCCCTTGGGGGCCAGCCCAGCGGGGTGACCACCCAGGCACGGGCAGGCCAGGCTGAACCCAGGACCAAAGTGTGAGATGTGGGGGCAAGTGTACAATGGCAGGGAGCGGGGAGGTGCGGACAGGACACGTGAGGGCGCGGGGCAGGCGTGCGAGCAGCCAGTGCCCGGCCATCAGAAGGCGAAGCAGCGCTCCTTGGGGTGGCCCACGCGGTCCAGGTTGGGCAGGCAGGCAAACTGGATCATGGGCGGGGGTCCGCACATCAGCACCAGCGGCTCGTCCTCCGGGGGTGGGAGGTGGTCCCGGATCATCTCCTCGTTCACGAAGCCCTGGCTGTAGTCCCAGGCTGTGGGCGGGAGACTGGGTGAGCCCAGGTGTGGCTGACGGCTGACACTGCCCATCTGCCAACACCCTTCCCCCTGCTGCTGTGGACTCCTCCCTCCTTTCAGCAAACACTGAAGAGAGAAGAGGCTGATCCAAGCAAACAAACGTCTGCCCTGATGCCCTGCCCCAGCCTCACCCAAATACAAACGCAAGCCCTTCTGGGATTCCCACTTTGCAAAGCCTTTCGCTTCTCTTTGGCCGCTCAGGGGGCCCTCAGAACCACCCTGTGGGTAGACAGGGAGGGAGTTAATGAACCCGTTTTATAGATGTGGAAACTGAGGCCCAGAGGACCCAGAATTGAGTTGTCTAAGGTCACACAACGAGGCATGCACATGAGGAGGCCTGTGTCCAGCTCCAGGCTGGGCAAGGTGACATTCTCTACCGCCACCCACTCCACGGGCCAACTGTCTGACTGCCCGCACCAGCGCGTTGGCTCATGAGGAACCCCGTCTGGTCCACAGCTGTGTTCCCGGTGCCCAGACAGCCCGGCGCATAGCAGTTGCTCAATGAATAAGGAACGAAGGAATGTGCCCCAAATACATCATCGATGAGCCTGGAAACAGCAAGGCCTGGGCGCCTGCTCAGCGGCAGCGGCTCCCTCTGGGTCCTGCCTGCCTCCGTGTCTTGCACACAAACCCACATGCACACACAGTGTCTCCAGGTTGCCCCCAAGATCCGGAACCTTCTTTCATTCCTCCAAGTGACTGACCGTCCCCGTGGTGAGAACCTGGCACCCCGAGCCTGCCAAGGGTTCTAGTCCAACAGGGACCCTCAGGGACTGACCTGCCACAGGGGCTGCTCACAGAGGGGGGACCACCCAGCCTGGTTAACGGGACCGAGGTCTGGCAGGAGGCAGACAGGAGAATGGGTGGGGGGGGGCTCTGACGATTGGGGGCCGTGCGGGGGCAGAAGAGAGGAAGAGGAGGCAGAGGCCCACCCTGGCTCCAGCTCTGGCTCCTAATCTGCTGGGCAAATGACCCCTCTGTGCCTCAGTTTCCACATCTGTACCCATGGTGCCACCCCACCCACTTCACAGGGCTATGGGGTCTGGGTGAGAGAAGGTCTCCCCGCCTTCTTTCAAATGTGTAGCCTAATAAGTGGCCGCCTGTTTTGGATGAGCAAGGAGGGTAACCCAGCGTAAAGCTTGCCTTCCTTCTCGGCTCTTCACTGGTCAGTGGGGACAAACGCTACTTAGGCCACCCAGCTACAGTCCTCTCAAATGACCCCTGCACCTAGCAGCTCAGCCCCAGAGCAACAAACGGAAGGACCGGCAGATGCCCACTACCTGCCACATGCTCCCTCCTCTCTGAGCCACCACGGCCACCTCCTGACCCCAGGCCAGCCTCAGAGCTCCGGCCGTTGGGTGGGGTAACCACCCAGGCAGATCCTCTAGCTTGGCTCCGGAGGGGCGATGGGGACGATCAGAGAGAAGCAGCAGGTGGAGATCCGAAGGGCAGGGCGCAGGGCTGAGCAGGAATGTGGGTCGCAGATGGGAGTGGCAGGAGAGTACCGGGACGCTGCCTCTATCAGAGGTGCCCAGTGCACCGCCGGGACTGGCTGAGGCTGGGGGACGGCTTCGTACCCTAAGTCCCTCCAGCCCTGAACACCCAATTATCTGGCTTATCTCTCTGTTTTTCGCAGTCTGGAACAGCCTCGCTAAAGCCCTTGACACCAACAGAAATGCAGCTGTGGAAGCCCAAGGTCAGGAGGTGACTGAGGGACCTTGCCTAGATGGATAACACTCACTGCATCGCACTGTGTCCACTCTATGGGGGGTCCCTTGGGAGGGGCCAGGACAGCCCCAGCCGGTCTCAGGACCAGGAAGAATCTCCTGTGCTGAGCAATGGAGTATTCTTTATCTCATGGACACTGATCTAAGTAACTGGCCACATCTCCCTTTTCACTTTGGCTGCTGGGAAGCTCAGAATGAAATGCATGGCCCATCCGTGGTAAGTGTGCATCCTACTCCATGTTTTTGTACAGACCTCATTCCTGATTCCATTTCGTGGCCCTGCCCTTGTTTTCCTTTCACTCCTGCTTTCCATTTGTACCACTCTGACTCACTCTGAGTCTCTGTAAGCTCCCCAGCATCCCTTCTGGAACAAAGCAGGGCACAGACCAACATTTTTATAGCCGGGCAACAGATTGGAAAGAACTTTGTAAAACACTGCATGGAGCTAAACTGTATTTGCTGGTGTATGAAATGTGCAAGTGTGTAAGACACATCTCAATTTTACAAAAATTTTGCAAGATAGTGTATTTTTCTTTATATGTGCACTGAAGGCGGCTTTGTGGAGGAAACATGAGTCAGCTGGATCTGCCACAGGATCTGGCCCCTTTTCCCTGTTCCTTCGCTTAGCTCCACGGTAACCATGCTGGCTGGTTACCATTTTTTCTCAACATCTAGAATTTCAGCTTAGACCGAATGTCATAGAAATACCTCAACTAATCTTGAATTGTGGGTCAGGGTAATAATTAACATAAGTATAAAATGACAGGAGACTACCCAACCGTACTTCCCTTGGCCTGTAACTGTTTACTGTTAAAACAGTCCTTAGGAGGCGGCACTTTGGTCTTGGCATTGCCATGTGCCACCACCAGGGGGTCAGTGTCGGCCCCCTCCCTTCCTCCCCCACCTCGTGGATGGGGCCTCCTGTTGGCAAGAGGCAAGGATGTTCCCATCGTGGCTAAGAAGCCCACCCTACCACACTATCAGGATCTGCAACCAGAACAGAGCTAAACCACCCTCGGTTTTGACTGACACGTGGGTACAAGACAAATGTTCTTTCTTTACCAGAAGAACACGAGCTGCTCTGACTCCCAGAGCCAGCGGCCCCTGCCGGACCTCCACTCCTGACCCCCTTGCCCGACTCTACCGTGTCTCACCTGGGTCTCACCGACAACCAGCTCCTCTGCTCTATAATTCACTAATAAGCCTGTGTCCTGTTCATCCCACTAGAACATTAGCCCATGGGGCCATGCTGGCTTCATGAACACACAGGGCAGAGGGTCGGACCAGGAGGGGACCCGCCTGGCTCAGATGGGCTGGCCCAGGACGGCCGGTCCAGCCAAAGGCCGTGGCACACGGCTGTCAGGTCCAGCCATCCACCCAGGCCCAGGCATGGCTCTCAGCAGGGAGGCCCAGGACCCAATTTGGTCAACCCAGGAGCATGGCTCCACTTAGGAATGGACCCAGATGACCCAGCTCTAGATGGGCACCAGCCCCCAGAGCCCATCTGCTCATTTCTGGGGGAAGCAGAGGGCGGTGTGTCCCCCACACCATGGGGCTGTGCGAGGAGCAGAAGGCAAAGCAAAAGCAGGGTGGCAGGACGTGGCTGGGATTATAAGATGGCGCCCACGTGGGTGCTTCAAAAATGTCGTTTCTAACATTTAGGAATTTCCCATGAAAATGCAGATCCAGCTTCCCTTAAGAAGTGGAGCGGCCTGGCCTACAAGGCTGTATTCCTGCCTATCAGGACTGCCTGCAGCTGAGAGGAGCTGCCCCTCTGGACAGGGCAGATGCTCTCCAATTTGCCACAGTCCCCACCACACCCTACAGTCTCCCAACCCTGAAGCTGGTATTATCCACTAAAAAAGCCTGAGTGCTGCTTTTCTCACAGCAAAGAAGGTATTTCTGTACCCACTTCTACCTAAGGCAGGAGAGTGAAGTAGTTTCGCTGTCAGAGGACAACCTCCAGGGCTGATGACCAGAGATAAGATGCATGTGAAGTGCCTTACAGGGTAGAATCACCCCCCAGCACGGGCCCTGGAGACCTAACTCCACCCAAGGGGAGAAGGCTGGCCTCCTCTGTCCTGGGTGGGCAGTGCAGCCACGGGAAGGCCTTGGGCTCCGGAAGAGGAGCACGTGAGCCCAAGTCCCTGCTCCAGTGCTTTCTAGCTGTGTGACATGGGACACTTACTTCCCCTCTCTGATCCCTCTTTCCTCATCTGTGAGATGGGGTCACACCACCTCCCGCTCACAGGGCCATGGCAAGGGCACGCACCAAAGGAGACAATGTAAGAAGGCTTGACACCACGGAGGGCTCAGCACAGGCGAGCCGTGGGCCAGCACCCCTATCCCAGCCCATCCTGCTTGGGGCTTCCCTCGCTTACCTTCAGGGGCTTTGTCCACCGTGTACCAGAGCTTGAAGCGTGCAGAATGTTCGTTCCTCAGTTCATCCAGCTCGGGCCGCAGCAGGATGTCCTTCTCGGTCTGTGGGGACAGGGCCCAGCGGTCAGGGGGGAATGGCGGCAGGGGCTGCCCTTGGAGACACTCGTTGCCGAATGGCTCAGCATCCTGTCCACCTGAGGACCACACGTTTGGCAGAGCTTCCAGGAAAGCAGGCTGGCATAGCTCACCCAGGCCCCTAAATACGCTCACCCCCCTTTCTCCTCATCTCGTCTCAGGAGCAGATCAAAGCTGCAGACGAAGATGTTCATTACAAATGCAGTTTGCAAACGGTTTTTAACGTTGTGGGGAAATGTTCCCGATATAATGGGGATTGGAGAAAGCGGAAAACAAATCTAAAGATGGGAGCGCTCAACTACAGAAGACAAGGAAGACGCTGGAAGGAAACGTGCCAAAACATTCATCGTGATTATCCCTAGGGGGCGGTTATGACACTTAACATAATGAATGGTTCAATTAAAAGGATCAGACCTCACCATCCTCATCGCTCAAACAAGTCTTTATGTTCTAGCTTCTTAGGTTGTACATCCATAAGCTAGGAAATAGGGACACCTGGCAGCCCCACATGGTCCTAGCGTTCAGCCCACTGTCATCTCCTCCAGGAAGCCCTCCCAGACCCTCCAGGGAGTGTGTCGGAGCGTCTATCTTCCTACACCTTTGCCAGCACTGGGTAATAACTGTTTAATCTTTGCCAGTCAGACTGATGGAAAGTCAATCTCATGTCTTATCTTTTATTATTAATGAAGACGTGTGTCACTGGCCTTGTCATATCTTTTCTTATTAGTTTGTAAGAACTCTTTTTATATTAAGGATATTAATTTTTATTGGTGATGCACTGTCTGCTGTCTTCCTAGTTGTTTACCTTTCTGCCTTATTCATGCTCCCTGCCGCGGGGAGCGTGCGTTTTTCAGCAGAGAGCTCCATCAGCCTCCTCCTCCACGGGCCCTCCTTTGGTGTCTTGCCTCGACTGACCATCCTCATTCATTCACCCAACAATACTTCTTGTAAAAATGCTCAACTACTACTTTTAAAGCTTTTTTTTTTTTTACATGTACATCTTTAACCTAAACTTCACTCTACTATACGTAGGGATGTACTTAGTTTTTTCCAAACGTATAGCGACAAACCCAGCACTCCTTTTCCCGTCTCTCCTCAGGTTTGAGGTGTCACCTGCATCACAGAGTCTCATGTAGACTTGGGTCTGTTTCGAGGTCAGACTTGTTCAACAGAATGTTCTGCAGTGATGGGAATGGTCTAGATCTGTGTTATCCAATGTGGTCACCACTGGCCACATGTGGCGATGGAACCCATGCAATGTGGCTAGTGAGACTGGGCAAGTGAGCTTTTGAGTTGATTTAATCTCGATGAATTTAAATTTAAATTGCCACGTTTTAGCATATTCCAGCACAATCTAGACTTTCATCGTGTTATCCAGAAATGCAGTTAAGTCCAGTAAGCCCAGGTCTCATTTTCATCACTGATGCTTTTTAGTGTGTTTTAACATCGAATGTGCTAAGTTCCTCCTTGTTACTCTTCTTTTTCAAAACTTTCGTGATTGTGCATGCACACTTTGTCTTCCAGACCATTGTGCATTATTTTGTCATATGCTAGTGCCCCACTGGGACTTTGAGTATTATTTTATAAAGAACCGACACCTTTATAGAGTATCACTCTCCTGGCCTAAGTACAAGGCATAAGGCATGCCTCACTGTTATAACTCTCCCTTAGTGTCCTCTGAAAAGTCGTGTTTCCTTTAAGTGAGGCTGGGTGTGGAGCCCCTGGTTTTCCTAACTCAAGATGGGGGTTAGGAAACCAACCTGGCTGCAGCAAGGTGGGGGTTCTCAGAGTGTCCCCTGCAAACCCCTGAGGTTCCATGAGATGAAAATGATTTTCATATAATACTAAGACAAATAAACTTGCACTGTTCACTCGCGCCCCCTCATGAATGCACAGAGGGACTTCCAGAGGCTACATGACTTGAGTTACTGCACCAACTGAATGCAGAAACAGATGTGGAATCCAGCTGGTTCTGTTAAGCCAGGTATTACAAAAGCTTTGCAAAAATGTAAAACAAAACAATGTCCTCTAAAATACAGTCATTTTTCATAAACTCTGCTCTGGTTCGAGTCCTAGTTCCACCACTTCCTGTGACACATGTAGGTCAAGCCCCACTCTGGGCTTCCGTGTCTTACAAAAGTAGGGCAATTTCACCACCTTGGCCAATGGGCTAACAGTCGCAAAGATGCCCTGTATAGGTGACAGATGGCTGACAGCCTCCATAGAGACCAACCCAGCACCACCAAGTGGAACCGCTGTCTGCCCTCCCACCCCACCAGCAGCTTGGAATTTCTGGCTCTTTCTGGGCATAGTCAAGGTCACCTTGGTTGGCCACAGGGCAATTTTATGCAGCCACACAGGAGTCCAAAGTCCCATGTCCAAGGACCTCAAGCAAGCCCCTCTCCCTCTGGGCTCGGTTTCCTCACAGATGGACGGGCCAGATGGACCCCAAGGCAAGATGGCCTGAACCTCAGAGGTGCAGGGAAGGGGTATCTCATCTTGGCCTCCCCCTAAAGGGGCGTCACTTTACAAAATCCACATAATCAGCCACAAAACATTGAACGAGGAAACACCCTTGTGATGACCTTGCTTTATCAGCTCATTCCAGCTGAGGGAGCAAAGCCCAGAGGGAAAGTGACTTGTCCAAGGCCACAGAGCAGGCCAGGGCATGCAGGCGGCGGGTGCAGGGAAGAGGACATGCACTCAGAAGTGAGAGAGGCCAGTTCCAAACCCTGCCCCCACA